GACACTAGCAGGAAAGGACTTAGAGGCAGGAGAGTTTAAGTGGAGGATAACCACCATCTTGGCACACGAGCAGGGACGTGAGGCCAGGGGTGAGGCCACCAACAGAGGCCAACATGGATGAGGCTGCACCATCTACAATTCAGAGGGAAACTGTGGGGCAGCAGGAGGTTCAAGAGAGTGTGGGACAGGCCAGGGTTGAGGCTGAGGTAGGGGAGGATCTGGAGGTTTCTCAGAAGACCCCACCACCTCAGGATATGCCTCTGGTTGCAGGTCTGGAGGAGGCGCTGGGATCTTGGGCCACTGGATCCGGGGCAGAGGAGCGAGTGAGTGAGCAGGTGGCGCAGACAGATGACAGAGCAGCATGCCCCATTCCTCCAGAGCATCCACAGCAGGAGGTCACGAGCGAGGCTACAGCAGTCCCCTCATCTGTGCCCTCCCAAGGAGCTGACAAGATGGATCAGAAGAAGTTTGGAAGATGTTTCTACTGCAAGAAGGGCAAACACCCACAAGAGACCTGTTCCAAAAGCCTCAAGGATGAGGCGAATGGCTTGTTTTCTTGGGAACCTTCTGGGGTACGTAGGGATAAGTATGGGAACCTGATCCTAAAGACTCGTGATGGGATACGGACGTAGTTGTATAGGCAGCTGCAAGAGGACATGAGTGATCAGGGATATGATTCTTTCATAGGGTCCGGAAAGGTCTAGATTCTGACAAGTATAAAGCATCTCTGACTCACTACTGATAGATGATTGTATATAGGAGGACACATGGAGGATTGGATCACGCCCATGTACATCAGTTAGTTGAGTCATTACTGAGATGTTTACTTTCGCATATTGACTTTTCAGACTTAGTTGTATCTAGGATGGTATTGAGTGTGAGACTAATTTCCTTATTTTTATTTTCACATTTTTTTGTGGTGTGGAGTGTTCTTAGATAGTGTTTTTGTGTGAGTTTATGATTCTTTCTCGTCCAGAGCGGTATGAGATCCTGGTTTCCTTGACTTTTACTTTGACACTTCGTTCAGATACTCTGATTCTTTGATGACTATGACACTTGGTACGATACCCAGACTCTTTGTGTGATACTT